TCATTGGTAATCATTAACATTAATAAATAAAATTAGCAGGCAACTAAAAACTGACTTCCTATGTTTGTACTAGAATACAGGTTCTGATGTTTGCAGACAAACATATATAAATCAGAAAACTCATTTAGTCACTTATTTTTATTATTATAACGCAAATAAATGACTTCAATCAGGCAGTTAAGAACTAATTGACAGGAGACCATAACTTTATTAGTTGTGCACTATGATTTGAAAACTTTGCATGTCAATTTACATTACACACTGCATGAAAGGTTATATTAAAAAATGTAGCATTATAAATGGCAGCATTCATATATAACGTTAGCAGTGTTTAGTTTTTAATTTATCCCATTTGACTCTTGGTGATGATGGTAATTTGCAGCAAGTTAGTAAAAAAAAACAGGCTGAGGCTATGCCAAGCAAATCTTCATTTGTAGTAAACATTACGATTATATTTGAATAGTTTACCAGGCTCTTGAAATGTTTGCAAGCATAACTGTTACTCGTACATAGAGGTAAAGTTGGTTTTATATTCGGGTATTCAGACATTCTCCTTAATAATATGATTTGAGAAAAGTATTCTTTACAAATTCTAAATAGGGAAATCATATTAGCAGTCAATGATTATCAAAATACAACCATGTTTACAGTCAGTTAGATAGTGCTAATGTTGTTTTAAAGTCATACTTGCATGCTAATTCTGACCGAATATTCAAATTAGGGTGGTAAAAACAATAGAGACAGTTACATGAACGAATGTGAAAATATAAAACCAACTTTACCTCAATTACTCGTACGAAGAACGTAGCATTAGCCACACAATTCACTTCATAATGATGGTGTTAGATTAATTAACGAATTCAGACGCTCTCATATTCATCAAGTCTCAATTTTGCGTGTTAACCGTTCATTTAAACACTGAAGATGTAATAGCGACCCGGTATGTTTTCGCGAGCTCGCCAGTAAATGAACGGGGAGGCTAAGCGACATGCTAGCTTATTTTAAAAGATCATCAATAACACTCAAAACCTAAAGAGCTACAATCATAACATATAATATTGAAAACCGAATACATATGGTTGTGATATTAATAAAGGTACAGTATTTTAAAACAAATTATGAACCAGATGTTAGAGGATTTTGAGGGCAAGGCGCTGAGAAACTCACCATCTTTCCTCAGAGCTGATTCGAAAGAGACCGGAAAAGACGCTGGTGTACCATTAAAACACCACCGGCGCGCTTTTGGTGTAACGACTATAAATGTCCCCATACTGTTACTGCAGGCTTCTGCATCCATAAGTTGATGAACGACGACGACTAAAAAACGTTTTATCACTGGTTAATTTGCTGGTTTATCTAGATCATAGGTGATATTGATAAAGTGGAAGCTGTGATACATATATAAACATTTACTAATATTTTATCAGTCCTAAGTGTCCGAAATTAAACAGATGGAAAGTTGAAGGGACAGTTCACACAAAATTGAAAATTAAGTCAATATTTTCTCGCCTTTTACTTATTTTCTTGAGAACGCTTTTTTGAAGAATATTTTGAAGAAAGCTGTAACCATTGACTTCCATAGTAGCTTTCAAAATATCTTATTGTGTATTCTACCGAATAAAGAAACTCAAAAATGTTTGGAACCACTTCAGGGAGAGTATGTACATTTTTTTGGTGAGCTGTCTCTTTGATAGGGTTTTATGTAGTCATTATAATTAACTTAATTTAATCATAAAAAATAAAACAGTGTTTAAAAATAAAACATTGATTTATTTCCTTGTCTTTTATTAATGGTTTTTAAACAGTAACGGCTCACAATCACCACAGGCAACCATCATAAATTACAGAGCTGACAAAAATGTCTGGACTCCGACCGTCCCTGCATGGGACATAAAACAAAATGACCTTCATAGGCTGCCGCAATCTTCTGATGTCAAAGCAAGACAAAGCAAGGGTTATTTGAGGTGCCGTTTCTATGATTGGCCAGGTGTGTGTATTTGTAATTCACAAAAATATGATATAAAAATCCCAATTATCTTTTACTAATAAGGCAAATGACATTATTAGGGAGTCAATAAAACGGCAAAGTAAAAATGCTAATCATTTTAAAAGAATGTGTGAGGGTGAATGTGTGTGTCTGTGTATTAGTTGGGGCTAAAACATTTGTAATCCGTTGTCTAGATGTCAATTTTGGGTGACGCAGTGCCGCAGTGGTTGGCACTGTCGTCTCACAGCATGAAGGTTGCTGGTTCGAGCCTCGTCTGGGTCAGTTGGCATTTCTGTGTGGAGTCTGCATGTTCTCCCTGTGTTGGCGTGGGGTCCAAAGTCCAAAGACATGTGGTATAGGTGAATTGGGTAGGGTAAATTGTTTGTTGTGTATGTGTGTGAATGAGAGTGTGTGGGTGTTTCCCAGTGATGGGTTGTAGCTGGAAGAGCATCCGCTGCATAAAACATATGCTAAATAAAATTATTAAAAGAACTAAAGCTGAAAAGAAAATGAATGTATGTGTTTTTTTATTTTAGAAATTGAATCATAGAATAATAAATACAAATTTTAGCTACACAATCTCATAACTAAGATTTATAAATTCAGAGAGCTTGGGAATTTCAGTTGGTCTGTTGACTTTTTTCCATTAATATTCACAATGGATATTCACGCTTTTACAATGTAAATTGTGTCAAAGCAGCTTCACATAGAAGATCATAGTAAATTAAAACAGTGTAGCTCAGTTTTCAGTGTTTAAGTTCAGTTCAGTTTAGCTCAGTTCAGTGTGGTTTAATAATCACTGCTGAGAGTCTAAACACTGAAGAGCAAATCTATTGATGCACAGCTCTACAGATCTGGAACTATGCAAGCCAGTGGCTACAGTGGCGAGGAAAAAACTTCACCAATTGCCAAAAGTGAAGAATTAAAAATCCTCGAGAGAAACCAGGCTCAGTTGGGCAGAATCATTTCTCCTATGGGCAAACGTTTTTTGCAGAGCTGCAGTCTGGGCGCCAGAGGCTAAAGAATGCTGGACCTCAGCGAAGACTTGTCTGTCCCTGGAGCATCACAGGAATCAGTCTCATGCTCTCCACTCCACAGCAGCTGCTCAGGATACGGCCTGGTCCAGGATTATGGAAACCTTGGGATCATCTCATCACTGGTCTTGAATCAATCAGTGGAACTGCATAGTCTGAGGGCCTCAGGATAAGTATCCCCAGGAGGAAATTAGCGTAGCTGCTGTTCATAGTGTATATATAAATGAGATGCAAAAACCTGTGTGGGGCACTGTAAGCTTTACTAAAAAGATAGGTCTTTAATATAGTTTTGAATTGGGAGAGTGTGTCTGAGCCTTTGACATTATTTGAAGGCTATTCCAGAGTTTAAGAGCCATAAATGAGGCTTAACCTCCTTTACTCGACTTTGCTATTCTAGGTACTATTAGAAGCCCTGAGTTTTGAGATCTTAAAAAGCGAGTCAGATTGTAGCGAGACATAATGTTGGTTGGATAAACAGGAGCTAGATTGTTTAAAGCTTTATTGGTAAGAAGCAATATCTTAAATTAAGATATTAAGATATTAAGATAAAACTGGGGTGATATGATCATATTTTCTAGACCTGGTAAGAACTCTGGCAGCTGCATTTTGTACTAGCTGAAGTTTGTTAATTGCGAATGCTGGGCAACCAGCGAACAGAGCATTGCAGTAATCCAGCCTAGAAGTCAGAAAAGCATGGACTAGCTTTTCTGCATCTGAGATGGATAGCATACTTCGTAACTTAGCGATATTTCTCAGATGAAAGAATGCAGTTTTTGTGACATGGGAAATATGAATTTCAAAAGTTAAATTGCTGTCTAATAAAAAAAATGATACATAGTATAAAATGTGGTCCACTTTATATATTTAATGTTTATCAATTAGCATTAGGCTATAATAAAATATAATAATAAATTAAAAACCTTCAATAAAATCTGGTATTTATAGATCAATAGAGTCTGGTTCTCTCAAGTTTTTTTTTCCCTCTCCGCTGTCGCCACTGGCTCGCATGGTTCAGGATTGGTAGAGCTACGCATCAATGAATTAGCTCTTCAGTGTTTGAACTCTCAGTAATGATTAAATCACACTGAACTGAGCTAAACTGAACTGAACTTAAACACTAAAAAACTGAACTGCCCTGATCCAGTTACTATGACCATTTATGTGAAGCTGCTTTGACACAATCTACATTGTAAAAGCGCTATACAAATAAAGCTGAATTGAATTGAATTAAAATAAAAAAATATATATTTTAACTGCTGTTTTTTAACATGCATCACCTCATATTTATTTATTTATTCATTATATTTACATTACAATTATTATACTTATTATATACTTATATTCTTATTCTTATTATATTTACATGACAAATTACATGATCATGTTTAATTACGTTGTATTAAATCAACGGTCTCAAACTCAATTCCTGGAGGGCCGCAGCTCTGCATAGTTTAGCCTCAAACAACTCACACAGACTTAATAGTCACTAGTAGTTTTGATCACCTTGATTAGTAGGATCAGATGTGTTTGATTAGGGTTGGAGCAAAACTATGTAGAGCTGCGGCCCTCCAGGAATCCAGCTTGAGAACGATATTAAATCAATAACAATATTTCAATTTAATTAAACATATGTTTAATTTACTTTCCTTCAACTTAGTCCCTTTAATTTATAAGGGGTCGCCACAGCGGAATGAACCACCTTAAATATATATATATGCATTATTATTATTATTATTTATTCATTTATTTATAATTTTTTATTTTTTTAAATAATGTTCACTTAATTACTTTAATATCACGTGTTCTCTAACTTGCGTTTAACCTTCGTGTATAGGTAATTGTATTAATTCAATATGTCCAACTATCAATAGTCTATGAATCCTCTTGTAATTCCATCTTGCGTCGCGTTTTATTAATAGTTTCATTTATGGTGTCTGCAGTTTCTCCCCGCCTCATTGGTGCTGATGAGAGTGATAGGAGCGCGTCACCGACCGCGCGCGCTCCATGTATGGCACGCGCATTCTGCAGGAGTGGCGCGTCTTTGTAGGCTGTGCGACATATTCTAAACATAGACAATTCACCTCAAAGAGCAGTTATACCATCGCTTTATCTGACATAAGCACGGACAGATTGCTTTAAGCACGATAGTGAAGCAAAACAAAGCAGCTGCTATGGATCCCGAGCGCGCATCAGTGCCCGTGAGAACGGTAAACACGCGCGGGCGTGACCCAATGTGTTTTCAATAGGGAAAATACGCGACCGTGGCAGAAGAATGGGCTACTCAGATCCCACAGCTAGTAGGGATCTGCTAGGAAACAGATCCCTGTGTTTTATTTTCATATGCGCGTTCGGACTGGTCACCTTATTGCAGCAAATCCTCTATGGCAAGAACTACATCAAAAGGTAAGCTGGAATCTGATGGCTTTATCAATGATGCATGAATGATTATAAATATAAATGTGTATTATTAGTTAAAGCAAGTATTATGTAGTCATACCGCACCCATATTGCTCCAAAATCTCTTTTAATTCATGCCATACACAGTCTCTCAATGACTGTCTATGCAGCAAGATGCTTAAGTCTGTTTTTCTTCTTCCTTTTTTCTTGTCTTGGTTTGTTTTTCTATCTTCAGTCCTTTTAAACAGCTCATACATCTTGCGTAAACCTGTGTGACAGCAAAAAAAAAAAAAAAAAAGCATATAGCGCAGACCCTAATTGTGTCTTTAGGCTGTGAAGAAAAGCAGTGCACTGGAAGACTGTGATGTAGCCTTGTTTTTATATATATATGTAATTTGTTGCATGAGCACTAGCCTAGATTTACGCACTAGCAATTAATTATGCATTTAAATCATCAGTGGTGCTTCATGAGACCCAGATTTCATGTTTTATGGGGCCACTTGCATTGAAATGACATCATACTGAGAGTATAAGTGCCGGAAGGTGAATCATTGTAGCCTTTTTATTTTGGGACCTGAGGTAAGATGGCTCAGCATTGCGAGGGTGTATGAGAGTGCGTGTGTGTGTGTGTGTTTGTCTATGTAAAATGGCGTCTCTCTCGTAAGAAGCGCCCCCCCCCCCCCCCCCCCTCCCACCCCCACAGTGCATTATGGTTCCTGCGTCCAAGCAGATGCCCATATGCTGAATAGGAGCGTTCTCACACTCCCACCTGAACCCCGTCCTGCGTCTAACACACACTCAGCATTCATGACATCAGAGCCGATGGCATGAATGCTGTCCTGTACCCCGGATCTGTTCTGCTGAAGTGGAGAGAAAACAAGCGCAGAGTGCTTTCGGCTTCATTTAACACAGAAAATGATGCCGCGAGAGTAAACGGAGATCGAATTGAGACATACGAGTCTTTCGCTTTTCAGGTTTTCTTAGGAAAAAACACATTGAAGACTGTATAATAGAGGTCAACGGGCTGGTATCTTCAAAAGCTTAGCTCTTAGCTTAAAAATGCTGGGTCAATTCAGGACAAACACAACATTGTGTTCATTTCAATTCAGTTTAAATTACTCTTCTTTTTTTAACCCAGCAGTTGGGTTTGTCCATATATGATCCAACATTGTGTTACAAAATCCAGCTATTTCTGATAGCCTATTATTAGTACCTGAAGGGTTTTAGTCATGTTTGTCAAATGTTGCTGTATTTACTGTCTAAATGGACAAATTCTTAAATCCTGAGAGTTTTGTCCTGGATTTAACTGAATGATAAACTATAAAACTGCTTAAAATCCCAAAGGCAGTATTAAACATGACATCAAGTCAATAGGATTTCTTAATAGAGGTTGTGCTTTGACGTATTGCACTTAAGGTATTAATTTGCAGCCTTATAGTACCAATATGGACTCTTCAGGTACAAAAATGTACACTCAAGAAATGCTGGGTTGTTGTAAACATATTAATGTATCTATTTTTTAGGTATAAATATGCACCTTTATGGTATCAATGTGGACTCTTTAGGTGTCCATATTTTTATATGTCCATACTTGACCCAGCATAGGTTTACAACAACCCAGCATTTCTTGAGTGTACATTTTTGTACCTGAAGGGTCTATATTATACCATAACATACACCATACTGTACTTCAGGTATGAACCCTTCAGGTACATAAATACACTTTAAGAAATGCTGGGTTGTTGATACCCAGTGTTGGGTCAAATATGGACAAACCCAACAATGTGTCTTTTTTTCAGTTAAATTGAAATGGCATGTTTCAACCCATTGGTTGTGTTTGTCCATATTTAACCCAACCAATGGGTTTAAAAAAAGTTGTTTCAATTTAAATAAAAATGTATGCATTGTTGGGTTTGTCCATATTTGACCCTACCTTGGTTTACAACAAACTCATTTTTTTCCTGAAGGGTCTATATTATACAATAAAAGTAAATATTAGTATTTATAAACATTGAAAGGGTACACCATACTGTATATTTTAGGTACTAATATGCACCTTTATGGTACCAATATGGACTCTTCAGGCATCTATATTTATCAATATTTATTTATTTGTCCATATTTGACCCTGCATTGGTTTACAACAACCCAGCATTCGTAAGGGTACATTTTTGTACTTGAAGGGTCTATTTTATACCATAATATACATCATACTGTACTATTTAAGAATATGCAACTTTATGCTACAAATATGGACATGAATGTACACTTAAGAAATGCTGGGTTGTGGTAACTGGGTCCATATTTGACCCAATGTTAGGTCAAATATGGACAAACCCAACATTGCATCAATTTTTCCAGTTAAATTTAAACACTTTTTAATCCATTGGTTGGGTTTGCCCATGTTTGACCCAACATTGGTTTATAGCAACCCAGCATTTTTTAGATAGCAGCCTTAGATAGTAGCCTACATTTATTATAACTAAAGGGTCCTTATTGATATCAATTGATGCCTCAATTTTTCCAATTAAATTTCAATTACACGTTTTAACCCATTGACTGTATTTGTCCATATTTAACCCAATCAATCTGTTAAAAAGTGTCATATAAATTTAATTTAAAAAAAATTATTAAGTGTTGGGTTTGTCCATATTTGACCCAACACTGGTTTACAACAACCCAGCATTTTTTGTACCTGAAGGGTCTATATTATACCATAATTAATATACATCATGCTGTACTTTTTAAGTACTAATATGCAGCTTATTGTACCAATATGGACTCTTTAGATACATAAATGTACACTCTGAAAATTGCTGGGTTGTTGTAACTTATTGGTTGTGCTTGTCCATATTTGACCCAACAGTGGTTTACAACAACCCAAAAGTGACACTTTAAGTAATAAAATGTGTTATGCTATTTTTGCTTTTTTTATTTTATCTGGGCTTCAGATTGTAATTTAATACTTTAAAAAGTAGCTTTTTCCATCACTGCCTTTATGGAATATGGACCCTTCAGGTACAAAAATGTACTCTATATTGTTGTAACCCAATGTTGGGTCAAAAATAGACAAACACAACCAATTGGGGTAAAATGTGTATTTTACAGTTTTTCTCAGTCGCTTTGGTGCGTTTCTCACAACACTAGTGCATTTTTGCACAACATTTAATGATTTTCTCAAAACAATTAGTACAAACTGCAAAACCCAGCTGATAACCTGCAAAAGCGCATCACATGCTCAAAATGGCTAGTTCATTCCTCAAAAGCAAGTATTCATGTCAATGAAAGAGTCAGTATCATCAAAATGAAAAGTCCTGTCACCATTGTTTATGAACAAGATAGTCAAATGGCTTAGTCATGTTTTCATTATGACAGTTTACTCTGTACATTTTTTCAATGCAAAAAAGTCTGATTTTGGTGACACTTCCTGAAAATGCTCAAGACAGCACTGTATACTATTTGCACAGCCATTTAAAAACTACAGTAAAGTTAGACATCACTGCATTTAGTGAGGTATCTAAGCACAAGACACTGAATATGTATGTTTTACATTTTTACTGCATTTGCTCTTTGCAATCCTAATTTATTCCCAGCATTGTGCAAAAGAATCAATGCACCCTTATTTACAACAAACATAAACTCCCTTTAGGCAGAGCTGTGCACAACTGTACACAATATTGCAGTACACATTGGAACTGAGCCTACAACATACGCAGGTCTGTAAATCATTCATCAAATTGTTCAATTTTAAAGACATTTTCAGGAAAATAAAGATTTAAATCTGTTAAAAAAAATTAGCTTGACAGATTTTGACAACTAGTTTAACATTTTTGTATGTAATGACTCCAGGAATGAAATGAGCACTGTTAGTTTTATATGGAATGACTATTCAGCATTTACAAGTTTAGTTCATTTTGACTGACATGACACAAGCAGATGATAATGTTATAAACAGCAGAGAGTTGTATGAAAGCAAATGATGCATGTCCAAAAGCATTCGCAATGTGTTCAAAAGAATGAGAAACTGCTACTAGGATGTGCACAAATGACTAATTGTTTTGAGAAATGCATTACCTGTTGTGCAAATGTAAATAGTGTAGTGAGAAATGCACCAAAGCGACTGAGAAAAACTGTAATTCAGTTTAAAAAATTGTTAGGTTTGTTTATATTTGACTCAGTGCTGGGTTATTACAATCTAGAAGTTTTTTAGAGTGCTGTATTTTTTAGGTACCAATGTGTACCTTTAGGGTAAAAATATGTACACCAATCTGGCTTTTCAAAAGATACCACTCCAGTGTTTGAGCCTTTTATTTCTGCGAGTGTGTGTTTTGGTTTACTTGGAACAGATCTGTAATGAAAAACTAAGCTCAGATTTAAAAAAAAAAAAAAAGAAAAAAGAAAAAAAAGAAAAACATATGTTTGCTCGTCCTATCAGGGATTTGCTGTTTTTAGTGGTGTTTGCCAAGGCAAATGTTGCTGTATATTCACTGTTGTGAAATTGCCAAATGTTAAATTCTGTGTTTCCCATTAGGAATTGCTCTGAATCCTTGACAAACAACGAACTGTTTCAAATCTCAAATTCAGCCTTAAAGAGGGAGTTGAGCCTCTGAGATTTCATAACAGAGGTTTTCTTTTATTGCATTAATTTTTGCAATCAATTAAATTTTATGATGTTTCTAATCTTATATATGTTATTGATACTTGTTTCAATGCACCACAAATTTGGGGCTATATTCACTGAGAAATGGATAGAAATATTAATTTATGCTGATCACTTTATATATAATTTATTTCTTTATTTTATGTTTATTTAGAGTAAAACGTTTGTATGCAGCAAACACAGTGCCATATATATATATATATATATATATATATATATATATATATATATATATATATATATATATGTGTGTGTGTGTGTGTGTGTATATATATATATATATATATATACATACATACATATAGTTTACTTACTATACATACATATAGTTTACATATATATCATA